TCTCTCTCTCTCTCTCTCTCTCTCTCTCTCTCTCTCTCTGTTAGACTAAACAGGGACGCTCGTCCCTGTCTCCTGTCTCTAAATCACCTGTGATGTCCAGTATCTCCATCTTGTCCACCTCATTACAACTGAAGTATGTTTCTCTGGGGGTGCTGGTACTGCAAACCACCTCCTTGGTGCTGACAATGCGTTACTCGCGTACACTGCAGGCCGAAGGGCCGCGCTACCTGGCATCATCTGCTGTAGTGTGTGCTGAAGTTCTGAAGATTGTTGCATGCATGCTGCTTGTCTTCAGAGACCACAGTGAGTTTGCACTTCTTCAACTTTAATGTGTGAAAACCAAAGTGTTCTGCAGTCTCTCTGTAATGTATTAAATCTCTAGATAGCAGTGTTCTTTTGAAAGCCCTTGGATGTAAATTTTTATTTATTTATTAATACATTTTTACAGTGCCTCCAGTTTTTCGCTGAATCCAATACAATATCAAAAAAAGTCAATTTTTTTGGAGATCCTGCATAATTCGCCATTACACCATAAAATTATCGCAAAAATTAAGGTCTCACAAAAAACTAAATTATAATTACTAACTGAATTATAATAAAGTTATTATTTTATTAAAGTGAAACTTTCTCACCAGAGTCTCACATAGCTGCCATGGACCGGCAAAGTAATTTCCTAATGCATTACACCAGAGTGGGGGTAGACTGTTTTGTAGCCCTTATAATAAAATATGGATGACAACAGATGACAAAAGAACTTCTGCTGTTGCTATCTCAGTGGAAGGAAACATCTGCAACATATGGATATGTCTGTGAAATCAAACGCAAGCAGTTAACATTGTCTGAGATAGACGACTGCTGGACATGAGCAAAATGAAGTAAGTAAAAGTGATGATTGTTTTATATGGCTGGGTGGTATGATGGTATCGACAGAGATTTCATTTATATCAGGCACAGCATTCAGTGGGCAGTACGGTTTAAAGCTATTAACACATTAGAGCGATTAAGAAACATGAAAGAGAACTCAATTCAGTCAGTCAGTCAGTCAGTCGGACTGACTGCGGATTTGCGTTTTGTGTGCTGTACACCTTGCCGCGTGAGCTTACCAAAATGTCCGTCTTGGCGAGTATTCATGTAAACACACACTCAAAAAAATCCTGGGTTATTTTGTCAACCAAAATGCTAGGTTTTGTGGTTATTTTTTCAGTGTTTGGGTAGTTTTTTTGTTACTCAGATCCTCCCAGCAGGCACACAACATCATAAGATGTTGATATTTGGTTAAATATCAGTTGCGACGTTGGGTGACCAAAATTCAATGTCAGTTCAACGTCTAATGTCAATGTGAATTTGATGTCCAATTCCGACGTCAGCTGACGTTGATATTTTGTTGTTTTTAGGTTGTGTTGTAAAGTAACCAAAATCCAACATTAAAACAACGTCAAACTGACGTCAAATACCAAAATGCAACGTCTGTCCGACGTTGGGGTCCAACGTCAATATGACGTATTGACGTCCGGTGCCTGCTGGGCTGGATCAGTCATAACCCAGTGGTTGAGTTATTTATCATGGGGTTTTTGCGTCCTCTTCAGGAGAGAGCAGTTCTAAGCGCCATCAAATTGATGCATTTCTTCGGTAAAATACAGGTTTGTGTACATTTTTTTAATCTATAAAATCGTTACTGTGCTGTATATCATTCAATTTTTTGCAAAGCAACATAACGGGGCGTGGTGTGAAGCTGCGTTCACACTAGCAGCAACTTTTGTCTCTGCATGTAGCCAGGGGTTGGCGATGAGGTCGTTAATGGGCGTTCTCACTACTGGCTGCCTAGTGACGTCGTTGTTGACAGCGAATCAGTTTTCTTGCCGCTAAATACAAACATATTGAAGGCAAAAGACTAAATATAATATAATATAAATTGAATCCGTACATAAAAACAAAAATGAATGCGAAACAGAGCCTGCTTTTTTCCATTGCGTATGTTTATCTACGGCAAACACACAAAAGCCTCTCCTTCATCTTTCGTCACTGCCGAAGCTGAGAGGAGAACGTCTCCGGTTACTATCGTAACCTTGGTTCCCTGAGAGCAGGAACGAGACATCGCGGAGGTTTCTCTGCTATGGGAACTCCTTCCTTTCCAACCTTTCCTGAAGTCCTATTGGCTCACACCAGTCCAATTGACTGGGCAATTGTCGCAAAGTATGCAAATCGCATGCAAATACTAACAAGCTCGAGAGGCGGTATAAAATGCGGTGCATGCGACAATTATGTTAGAATCTAATACTGAACGCTGCTTAGCTGGTCGAGCAGTGAACACAGCGACCTCCGCGATGTCTCGTTCCCTCACTCAGGGAACCGAGATTACAATAGTAACCGGAGATGTTCCCTTTCGAACTTTCACGAGACATTGCGGAGACATCCCATCCGCTATGGGAACGATATTCAATTCCGCCGTGAGAGAGGCTACGAGCAGCCTGACCAAGTTATACACTCAGCGAGATAGAACACACACATAATTCCCATAACCAATAGCGACGCTTGTTAGGCGGGCTCTCAGCTGATAGGTGGAGATAAGCCAATGAGCGTCTAAAACCCAGGTATACTAAATTTGCATATCTGACCAGTAATAATGTAGGCTGAGAACAGGGCAGAAGCAACAACAACAGTATTGAGAGGGGGGCTGCACAGAGATAACTGTGTTAAGCAGCATAACACATAACGTGATGATGGTATACGAATCAAATTAAACATTGAATAACAGGAGCTGCACTGAGTACAGGGCAGACAACAACAACAATAGAGGGCTGTGCAGAGTAGTAACTGTGTGAGGCAGATAACACATGAATAGAGGTATCATAACTTGAATCATGCACTCACCAACAGCACTTGGGAAGCTAAGGACTGTAGTAAATCAGCTCAAAAGGGAAATATTTATGACTAATTATAACTGGTTATGATTAATAATAAATATTTAGATTAGATCTTATAATTAACTGTAGCAGAATCAATATTACCATTACTTGATCTGTCCATCCACCGAGCAGACAAAATAATCATTTATCAATTCAAAGAAAGATTATTTTCCTGGCCAAGGAAGAATAACTTTCCTTATTTATGCAGTGCTGGCAGTAATTTAGCATATGTAGCAAGGGTTGGAACATTCATTGACTTCGAATTGTGAGCAGCAAACAGAGACAATCAGTTGTGAATATAAGGGATTTAATAAATGAAACTATATCTAACATATAACTAACTAAGCAAAACACATATATACAGAATGAAGCAAAGTAGGGAAAAGAGAGAGGAAAGTAAAAGAATGGCATTATTTCACATCACTTAACCACAACCTTTGAACAATTTAGACCCCATACAAACGTAAAGTCTGTGACCAGGACTGTAATTTATATGCAAATGTCAAAGGCTAAAAGGGTCTCTTAAGCCATAAAATCCCAAAGATCATGCATGATTCTACGCAGACGCTACAGGACTGAACATTCAGCTTGTAAAACCTGGCAAAGGTATTCTGAGAAGACCAGCCGGCTGCAAGGCATATATCCTGAATAGACATACCTCTTGACCACGCCCAGGAGGAGGCGATAGCTCTTGTTGAATGGGCCCTAATGTGAAAGGGCATTCCAAACATTGACTCCTATAAGCAGCCGTGATAGCATCCACAATCCAGAGGGAAAGTCTCTGTTTTGACACGGCCCGGCCCTTCATACGACCACCGTAGCACACGAAAAGCTGGTCAGACTGCCGAAAGCTAGCCGAACGGTCAATGTAAGTCTTCAAAGCCCTGACGGTTCACAACGCAATCTGAGCGTCCGCATCACGCGAGGTCGATGACTCAGATGACTTTTCATCACTTTGAAACAGTTCTGCGCTCTGAAGGGAGTAGATAGGGGAACGAAACGAGGCAATAACGGCCACATAGACTTTCAGAGTTGACGGTAGAGATCCACTATCCAGACTGTACTGTTGAAAACGCAGAACATCCGACACAGAGCAAGCAGCCGGGTTGATATGAGCATCACAGCACCATTTCACAAACGCTACCCATTTTAGGGCATACAAACATCTTGTGGAGGGTGCCCACGCCTCCGAGAGTGTGTCGAGCACATGAGAATGCAGGGCGCTCAGCTCCTCTGATATCCCTGAAGCAGCCGCACGTGAAGGCTCCATAACTCCGGGTTCGGGTGCCATATTGAGCCGCTCGCTTGAGACAGCAGATTCTTTCCTGATGGGGATCGGCCAGAGCGCCGCCACCAGCAGCTCTGTCAGGTCCGGGAACCAAGGCTGGTTCGGCCAGTTCACCAAAGCCCCCTTCTCTTTGATCTTGCATAAGACCAACGGCAATATCTTGATCGGGGGAAACACATACAGTCTGGCTGCTGGCCAGAGCGACGTCAGAGCATCCCCTTCCAGAGAGGAGAGAGACAGAGAGAAGAACAGCGGGCAATGCATATTCTCGCTCATTGCAAACAAATCCACCTCCGCTTTTCCGTAGCGGGTCCAAATCATCCAAACTGACTCGTGGTGCAACCTCCACTCTCCTTGAGGAATCCCTTCCCTCAAAAGCACGTCCACCCCGCGGTTCAGGAGATGATGGAGAGAAAGTGACGGTCCACCGCTGGAGATTCGCTGCCTGCTTGTACAGCGCCCTGGAGCGCACACCTCCTTGGTGATTTATGCACGGGACCACAGACATGTTGTCGGTGCGAATCAGTACATACCGCTGTTCCAGCTGCAGTCAAAAAACCTTTAGAGCTAAGAACACTGCTTCCAGCTCCAATCGGTTTATGTGCCACTGGCTCTGGGGTTCTGCCCACAGCCCCGAAGCCGGCATGGGCTTGCACACTGCTCCCCAGCTGCGAGTCGATGCGTCCGTCATGACCACAACGCGTGACGTCACCAAGCCCAGGGGAACCCCCTGGCTGAAGAGATCTGTGTTGTGCCACGGCCTCAGAGCTTCGATGCAGCCGTGGGACACCGCAATGCGCAAACGGTCCACACTGTCCAAGGGACTCGAGATTTGAGAACACGTTTATCAAACACAAAGTTGAACAATTTCGGGACAGCTTGCGGCGCTTGGGGCAGGGCCGCTCTCGCACTCTTCCCTCCTCTCCGGGCTGGCAGGACGACAGCTTGGCAGCTGATGGTGGGTGGGAGTCGTGGCGCGGGCTCCTCCGCCTGCCGTGGCGCCTCTTCCCGTGTCCCCACACCTTCCTCTGCACATCCGGCTCCTGGCGAGGGGCAGCAGCTGTCGCGGTAGCGGCTGTGGGTCTGGTGTCCCTCCTCTGTGCTGGACTGTGCGCTGAAGAAGACCGGGATCTCGCGGTCTGCTGCTGGAAGGCGCCTTGGCATCACGTGGCTCATCACTTTGACGCGCTTTTGAGCCTTCGCGAAGCGCTCAATGATGGACTCCACGGCATCACCGAAGAGGCCGGAGGGAGTCACCGGGGCATTAAGGAGAACTTTACGGTCTGCGCCCTTGAGGTCAACTAGGTTCAACCATAGGTGCCTTTGAAGGACGACCATAAAGCCCATCGCCTTACCGATCGTCTGAGTGGCGCGCTTCGTGGCCATCAAAGCGAAGTCCGTCACTGTGCGCAGGTTATTAACGGCGTCCGGTGTGAGGGCTCCGCCCTCCGGCGTCTGCAGGAGCTTTGCCTGAAATACCTGCAGTACTGCCTTGGCATGCAGCGCTGATGCCGCTTTACCGTCTGCTGCGTAGGCCTTGTTAGCGAGGTGGGCAGTAGTCCTGCACAGCTTAGATGTGAGGCTGATATCCGAGCCCAGGGTCTTGGCTGCTGCAGGGCATAGGTGCGCCGCAACTGATACCTCGATGGGGGGAGTGCGCACGTAACCACAGGCTTCCGCCCCATTCACGTGTGAGAATATGGCCTGCGTGTTAGTCTTCACGAGCTGTTCGTGGACATCGGGGAAGAAGGGGACCGACGCCTTCGAATCAGCTTTCTGGCGAGAGGATCTAAAATACCAGGAGTCGAGCTTACTCTTGGCAGGCTCCTCCGGAGGGCTCCAAGTAAGCTTGAGCTCCTGGACAGCTTTCGTCATGACCCTCACAAGATCCTCCTGGAGGTCTGGGGGCCCCTCGCTGTCAGGGCAGTCACGCTCCGATCCCGCCCAATCTTCTTTCTCCAAGGCCGAGATGGACATTGAGTCCTCATCCTCTTCCTCCCGGCCCGAACGACACGAAGTCTGCGATGTTTGGAGGAGGGTGGAAGCAGTCCTTGGGACAGGTGACTGGGGAACGGTGTGACCGCTGAGGATGATGGCGCTGCGAGTCGACGCTCCCGCCTCCAGGAGGGGGAGGGGGCTGGGGGGCCTTACCCCAAACGAGCCACGATGTGGCGAGTCCGAAGCACGCGGGTCGTGCTGATCTGGCGGTTTGATAGGTCCCGCGGAGATCTTGCAGAATGAACCCATTCTTCAGGTTGTATTGAAGCGAACAGGTAAGTAAAGGAGAAGATTCTGATGTAATTGACGCGTGCACAGCATTTTATACTGCCTCTTGAGCTTGTTAGTATTTATATACTTCATAACAATTGGCCAGTCAATTGGACTGGCGTGAGCCAATAGGACTTCAGGAAAGGTTGGAAGGGAAGGAGTTCCCATAGTGGAGAAACCTCTGCGATGTCTTGTGAAAGCTTGAAAGGGAATGATCACATGAGCTCTACCGTCTTCTTTCCCGAAAGTCGCTCTTCATTTGCATAAAGTAGAAGGATTCTTAAAGGGGTCATATGATGCGATTTCAATTTTTCCTTTCTCTTGGGAGTGTTACAAGCTCTTGGTGCATAAAGAAGATCTGTAAAGTTGCAAAGACTAAAGTCTCAAATCCAAAGAGATATTCTTTATAAAAGTTCAGAGTTAGCCACAAACTAAATAAAATACACAAAATAATGTTTTTTTTAGCAGCATCATATGACCCCTTTAACTTTGTTGCATTGCTGGACACGCCCCATCCGGTGGCCAACGGTCGCTGTCGCTTGTGTCGCCGGAAATTGAAATGAACGGGATCGTGTCGCTTTGTCGTTGCATGTCGCTTGCAGTGTGAACGGGGCTTGAGTCACCTAAACGAGTGTCACGTCGGTCTTTTCGCATGATGGAAAGGCCTGATGCCTTGCATAAAAGAAAAGATTTTATTCATAAAGATACAGAATATAAATACTTTTAATGTTAAAATATGTCCTCAGAGCTGTTTACTGTTTGTTTATAGGCAGGTTATGGAGTCAGTCACAGCATGTTTCGGCTAGAGTGAAACGCAGGGTGGTCATTAGCAGTTCCTAGCTGAACACGATTGCAGCTCAGGCACGAGAACCAGCGCCGTTATGGTGGAAACAGAATAACAGAGACTGAGTGAATTACGTGAATTATTTCTGTTTTATGTTGAATTTTTACTTCTAATGCTTGTTAAACGAGTTTAAATATTGGCAATATGTATTGCATACATTTTTAAAACTATATAAAATATGCTATGCTGTAAGTGATATAAATAAAGGAAAATAAAGGAAGTTATCATGCAAACCAGTGGTTGTGTGGAGTATTTTACAAAAGTTTAATTAATATTATTAAGTTATTCTATAAACATTAATTAATGTATGAAGTAAAATATGTGACCCTGGACCACAAAACCAGTCTTTAACTTTGATAAAGAATATCTCTTTGGTTTTGAGACTTTAGTCTTTGCAACTTCAGGGATCTTATCTATTCACAATCAGCTTGTAACACTCCAAAGAGAAAGGAAAACTTGAAATCGCATCATATGACCCCTTTAAGTAATGTTCCATGAAGATATTTTGTAAATTTCCTACTGTAAATATATCAAAACTTAATTTTTGATTAGTAATATGCATTGCTAAGAACTTCATTTGGACAACTTTAAAGGTGATTTTCTCAATATTTAGATTTTTTTGCACCCTCAGATTCCGGATATTCAAATAGTTGTATCTCGGCCAAATATTGTCCTATCCTAACAAACCATACATCAATGGAAAGCTTATTTATTCAGCTTTTAAATGATGTATAAATCTCAATTTCAAAAAATTTACATTTAAGACTGGTTTTGTGGTCCACAGTCACATATAAGCTAGTATTATAGTAAAAATGAGTCAACCCATTATGCTGGGTTAAATAAACAACCCAATTTGCTGGGTAAAATTAACCCAAAATGTGTTCTTTCCTATATTTACCCAGCTCTTGGGTTACAATTTTTTTAGAATGCAATCGGTTATGTCTTAAGTGAATAAACTGGGGAAAAACACTTTGGGACGCATGTCAGTACTGGATCCGTGCATTACTGTAGGTCTACTGTAGTGTCCTTAATATTAATGAAACAACAGCAGCAAAAATAAAAAAAAACCTGGTAACCCACGAACATCACAGAGACGTCTATTTGACGTCTGCATTTACATCTGCAAGATGTATTTTTTAGAGTGTTTGCTCATCTGCTCACCTGACATTTCCTATTAGATGTCCTGGAGGGACTCATATTTATCTGTCTTCATCCAAGGTTTCACTGTCCAGTCCGTATCGCTGTCCTTCCTTTGTCTTTTCTTGAGATTTATGTAATTGTGGCTCTACTGTGTATATTCAAAGCTAATTTCTGCTGCGGGATAAAAAAAAAAACAATAATAATTGTGACTTTTTTATCTCACAATTTGAAACTTTTTTCTTGCCTTTCTCAGTTTACATCACCTCAGACTTTTATTCTCGCATTTTTTTCTCACAAAACTGAGTTTATATGAGATATAAGCTCAGAATTGCAAGAGAATAAAAGTTAGAATTGTGAGATATAAACTCGGAATTGCAAGATGTTAACTCACAATTGTGAGATATAAACTCGCAATTCTGAGAAGAAAAGTCCAAATTGTTAGATAAAAAGTTGCAATTTACTTTTTTTTTTTATTCCGTGGTGGAAACAAATAAAATTGCAATTTGTAAACTCAGATTTGCAGAATTGAAAAAATTGCAATTACTTTTATTTTTTTATGTCATTATGAAAACAAGCACAATATTCAGCGTCCTTTGGTGTATTTTTTTTCTGGTAACATCATTGAAACAGAATTCTCATTCTTGTCAGGAGCTCAGAGCAGAAGAGGAGAGTTGTGCCTCGCTGCATAGGCTCACTGTCTAATGTGCTGTGCTGTGTGTGCCTCTTAGGTTTCAGTGTTCGTGCACTGAATCGGGTGTTGAAGGAGGAAATATTCAACAAGCCCCTGCTAACCCTGAAGTTGGCCATTCCTTCAGGTATCTACACCCTTCAGAACAACCTGCTCTATGTGGCTCTGTCAAATCTAGATGCAGCTACCTACCAGGTGAGAAAGCACAAATCCAGAGGAAGTTTCAGTTTCAGGGAGTTTCATAGAAACCAGAGGCCCACGTGCCACTTTTTTTTTTTTTTTTCAGTTTTGATAAGTATTGATTTGAGTAAATAAAATCTTATTAATACATTTAATTACCCTAAAATATGTTATCATATATATGTTATTTAAAGAAATATTATGCAATATAACTAATGTTTGGAATGCCACCTATAAACATTTGTGTTAACTTAAGATATACAGCATTGTATTTCCCTGAATCCCATAATTTATGCCTTCAAAATGGAGCCAAACATCAATATATAATAAATAATCAAATATAATCAATTTATAACACTTTTGATTGTTATAAATATATCTGTATGTATATATAGTTAGCTTTGACACTGTTACATTAATTTAGTGAAATATTAATTCCAATTTATTCCTGTTTCTGTCACTCTATTTCAAATGTTTGTTGTGCGTACAATTTTGTGAATGGCAAACATTACAGAACTCTGCATGCTCCATGGAAATAACTGTTGTGTATTTACATTGCCGTCAGAGGTGCTATTACTGGGGGTATGCAGAGTATGCCAGGCAGTCATATGGGCCAACCAGGACGCTAGTGGGACCCCAAATCACCACTGTGAAATTGTTTTTAATTGTTTATTTTTTAATTTGATCTTATATACACAAACACATTTTTATGGAAGCCAATTTCCGCCACTGAATAAAAAAAGAAAAAAGGTTATTGCGACTTTTTATCTCACAATTCAGACTTTTTTTCACAGAATTGTTAATACTCGCAATTGCGAGTTATAAAGTCAGAATTGCGAGATATAAAGTCACAATTGCGAGATAAAAACTCTCTGTTCTGACTTTTTTTCTCAGAATTGCGTGATATAAACTCACAATTGCGAGTTATAAAGTCAGAATTGCGAGATAATTTCGCAATTCTGACTTTTTTTCTTGCAATTGCGAGTTTATATCTCACAATTCTGACTTTATAACATGCAATTGTGAGTTAAAGTCCAATTTTGAGGGGGGGGGGGAAAGACTGATATGTTCTCAGAATTGCGAGTTTATATCTCACAATTCTGACTT